GACTGGTCACCAACTGGATTTAGTTCCATTCGCCACGTAATCTATTGACCAAGTTGCTGGTTTACCGTGCTTTACAGCAGATCTGTGCAGACTGGCTGTATTTTTCTGAGTGCAAATCAGGATTGAACTTTACAGCCTAGTAAAGGTTGTTTAGGGCTGCGTTGCCACTGGAAAGTGCCTCCCCTCTCCTCAGCGGTTCCCTTGTGCTGGCTGCAGGATCCATTCTCTTGGCACAGCTCACACTTGCTGGAGCCAGCCCAGAAGCGTTATCAGGTGTGAAAGGCCATAGGTAGAGGGGAAGGCAAGACTGCTGCTTTGGCCCCAGCATAGTCTCAGGCTAGCTAAAGATAACTGTAAAGCTTCTCTTTTTTTTTTTTTTAATCAAAAAAAGGAATAAGAGTAGAAAGCGTTAGACCGTTCGTCTGAGAGGGACACCAGTGTTGCCTATTGCTGGGACTGCTTGGGCAGTTGCCTCTGGGAACTGTGTGTCTGTGGTTTTGATCTCTGTATCTTTTTCTTGACCTTTCTTTTTCCTTCCAGGCTGATAAGAAGGATTCACAAGGGAATAATACAGTGTCAGGATTTGAAATTCTTCTTCAAAAGCAACTTAAAGGGAAACAAATGCAGAAAGAAATGGCAGAGTTTGTTCGAGAAAGGTAATTATAACTTTGCTATCAAATTAACTATTTATGGCAATATCTTTTTTCCTGACTTAGATATTCCTTCAGTACATTAATGATATAGCTTAAACTGTATAAAAGATATGCTACCAATTCTTAAAAAACATTTAATATTTCTTTAAAGTCCATCCACACTCTGCAGTCTTCCCCAGCTCTCACTCGTCTCTCCTGTTATGCTTGCCTTAGTTGTATTGCACACAGTCTGTCTGTTTTGATAGAGGGGAAACAAGGTTTTAAGCTGCAGATGCAAGGAAAAAACATGGAGATGGAAAAAGATAGAGTAGAGATCACATTTGGAAAATAAATTTTTTGTCTGAGAAGTTGAGAAGCAATTTGTTGATATGGAACATAGGCACAGATTCCTAGGGGAAGATGTAGAAAGATGTCACTTGGGACTTAAACTGATTATGGAGCTAAATTACACAAACAGATATTTAAAGTGAACCCCAACTCATAAAGGCATATATTGCTACCAGAAAATGCCAGAATGCTATTTATGGTCTGTTGCTCTGCTGACATGGGAAGTGCACTGAGCACCAAAGAAGCAGTTAATGAATGCTCAGTTCAACCATGTACAGAAGATGATGTGACATCATTACTCATAAGTAGTGTCACTGTTACTTGAAATCACTTGTCATGTGTCCAAAACAGGGTAAATAATTTTGAGGATGACTCTTAAAACTTGAGAACAACTCATAGGGAACAAGCCATCCTTGCTCCCAGGAGGAAGGCAGAGCACGGTGGTGGATGTTCTTTCCTAGAGGCAGTGGCACCAGCTGAAGGAGCTGCTGTCCTCTGTTATTGCCTCTGTGCTGGTGCTTGCTGGAGCATTGGTGTTACCTTCCTACTCCGCTGCTGCACACACAGTGTGGCTGTGCTGATATGAATCAGCAGTGGTGGAAGCAATGAATGAGGCAATGAACAAACAGAGCTCTATGCTGGCGCTTGGGGTGCAGTTTGATTGGGCAGAACTCACAGATGGATAGTTACTTTCATTTGTGGTTTGTTTTCTTTCTCCCTCTCATCTATTTTTCAGTATTAGGGTTATGGCAGCAGTGGAGAAATGCAAAGTATAACACAGGCAATAAAGACTGTTTGACACAGGAGGTTCTGAGTGCCCAGTATCTACATGTACTTTCTAATGCCTTTGACGTCAGACAGTTCGAGAGACAGTTGTCTTTATGTTCCATGAAAAAGTGTGACCAGAGGACGCAGGTATAAGAAAGGAGCAGCTGGCAAAGGAAGAATACAGTTGGGAAACACTCTTGCTAAGTTAGAAGATGAGGAGAAGGCATAAAGAATTGTGATAGCCATGGCTAGGGAAAAGAGGAGGAAAGCTGCTCCAAAGAAAGTTATATATAATGAAGCTTGACAGAAACAAAAGAAAGGAGCATTCAAGAAGGTGGGAAAATTGGTGTGAAATGAGAGAAAACAAGGACAGCAGTTCTGATACTGGGAAGAGACATGTTTGTGTCCTCAGTAGAGAAAGAAGTAGGCATAGTATAGAAGAAAAGACAGAAAAGATTCACTGTTTGCTGGAAACAGGGACGGTTTGGAATTGAGTGTGAAGAAGATCTAGATGGGAGTTACAAACAGGTGAATATAGTTTTCTTCTGTTTGGAAAAAATGGTTCAGGATTGCTCTGTGTGGAAAAAGAGGAAGGCAGTGTTGAGCTGGAGTGGTTACTCACAGAAATGCAAGCTCAGGCCATCAGAGGAATCTTTACAGTCCCAGCTAAGAGGGAAGAAACACTCATAGGATTTTCTTGATGACCATCAAGTGGCTCGAGGAATACAAGACCACATTTAACTAGGGGTTTTCATGTCCAGAAAAATTCTCTCCATCTGTACAACCAGCCTTCTGGAGATAAGGTTCAAGCAGCTAATAAAAATAGCTTAAAATAGGAAGCTTGCATGAGACACAATAACCGGATTCCTTCATCAAATAACAAACAACTAGCTGAGATGTATAAAGTAGAAGCTTTTAGAGAAGCTACTGAGTGATCTTAGACTAAGTAATTATGTGTTCATTAAGTTCTTGTTGGCAAAGGTAGGGTTGTAATACAGACTTTACATTTTAACAAGACCTCAAAAAGGAGAGGAAATGTCGTGGCTTAGGCCCAGTGCGTAACTGAGCACCATGATGCCCCAAAAAGTGCTGGTCAAAATAAGTTCTGGGAGGGCTTATCAACACTTAAAAAGGTCACAGGCAAAGGACAGACTCATTATAAGAAATAAAACCAAAACAATTTTAATTTGTTACCAACATCAGAGTAGAACAATTGGGAGATACAAACAGATCTTAAAGTCAAAACACCTTCCTCCCACCCCTCCCTTCTTCCCGGGCTCAGCTTCGGTTCCGGTTTCTTCACCTTACCCATCCCCCTTTGTCTTGAGACGCAGGGGGATGGGAGTGGGGAGCGGGGGCGGGTGTTGCAGTCCGTTTTCACGCCATGTGCTTCTCAGGAGTAGGAAGACTCAGCCCAATGTCTCTCTCTGCTTCCACGTGCCCCCCCCCTTTCCGCAGGGGAGAAAAAGTCCTCAAAAGTCCAATCTGGGTCTGCCCACAGCTGCAGTTTCCCTCACACACGAACTGCTCCAGCACACACTGCCCAGAGTCATGGATTCTTCAGGGGCAGCCACTGCTCAGGTGGCCCTGCCCCATTGCTGAGCTCTACAGACTGCAGACCAGTCGACCTGGCTCTCACCATGGGTTGCAAAAGGGGAATCTGGGTTCTGCGTCCTCCTCCCTCTCCTTTCTTTCTTTCCTTCAAACCGACCTTGGTGTTCTTAAAAAGTTGTTCTCCTTGTGCCCCACTCCTTTCTCTGCTTCAGGTCTCTTCTGATGGTTCTGGAGATCCCAGCTCTCTCTTTTTTTGTCAGGATGAAGCTGCAGCAGGACCTAAGCTTAAGTTGCAGTCGGGGCTGGCCAAGCCCAGCTGGGCAAGGCTGGGACTGCACCACCCTCACCTGGGGTTGCGCTGGTCACAGCCAGTGCCAGAGAGAGCAAGGAAATGCCCTTCTCCACCCTTAAATACATGAATTCGCAGGGGCGCTGATTGGCTTGGCCCTGGTCAGAGGTGGGTCTGACAAAGGAAAAAGGGGAGCTTTTCAGGTAGCTTCTTAAAGGGCCATCTCCATAGCACTTCCCCCGTTACCAAAGACACAACCGAAAAACCCTCACAGAAAACCCAGTACAGGAAAATAACTAGTAAATTGACTGAACTGAAAGATCAAGGATGTGGGTGTGAAAGAAGGAAAGAATTACTGTAAGTCAAAAGCGAAAATACGGTCCAGCATTTGCATTCAAGTAAGCACTCCAAAACAGCCAAGAAAATCTGCAGACTGCCCTGAATAGCATCAGTCTCTCAAAGTATGAGCAGTGTTTTTATTAGCAAAGGACCACTGTCTTAGGCTTTTGGCCACTCATGTTTAAATTGAGCTGGGCTATGCTTACGAAATTTAAAATAAATAGTAGATTATTTAGCTACATTAAAAGAAACACAGAAGAATAGCTGTAATGAGTCTGATGGAGATCTGTCTAGCCCCCTAACTTTAATCTGACTGTGGCAGTATTGAGTGCATAAGAGGAGAAGAGCATGAGAGCCTCTCTCCTCCCATCTTTCAGTAATGACAAGTTTGGGGATTTCCAGAGCCAGCATTTGCCTTAGGTTTGCCAATATCTTCCACTGTTTATCTAATCCCTTTGAGTAGTTTTATTTTTTTTACCACTGCAACAATTTGTTGCAGACTTCTGCAATTTATGCACTGCAGGAAAAGTAATTGTGCTTCTGTTGTCTGATAATGTCATTGCTTCCTAATCTGGAGAAATAGTGTAAAAAGGCTCATAGTCACTGCCTTCAAGCGGTGACAGTTGTGTAGATGTCTGTCAGATATCCTCTATCACCTTTTCTCCGTGTTACCCATGTTGTCTTAATCTATTTAGTTTCTTCTTGCATGGTAGTCACATCAGATCAACTTTGCCTCCCTTTGTAGCTCTCCAGTTTTTCTTCATCCATTATAACATGGCGTGACTGAAACTATTTGAGTGTGGGCACACAAAGTACTTTATTTTGGAAAAAAAAAAAGCGTAAGAAAGCAGGAAATAAACATCCAAAGAGCAAGTAGAACTAATAAAGTCAAGACAGTATGGGTCAAAATGCACTTATAATCTGTAATGCTTCCAACTACACAGGGAGTGAAATTCTGAGTTCTCAAACAAGTTAGTGGAAATGAGAAACTTGAGGGGTTTTGGTGTGAAGCTGCAGTAACTGCTAAACAGCCATGTGGATTTCTGGAGGTATGGTCAAAGGCTCAGGAGTCCCCGTGTACTGTTGTGATAGTGTTTCAGTCACCACAATCCAGAGTTTGCAGGGTGTTTATATTGGCCAGGGCCAGGAAGCATTTTTTTTTCCTCTTTTTGAGATATATGTTCATTGTGGGTAATGAAGAGGTAGGTGTTTTGGGCACAGATGGTGACAGGATGCCAGGCTGGGGTGGAACAAGTTATGTCTTGTAATTGAGGGTCTTAAGCAATAACCAATTCACCTTTTTATTGTCAATAGTTCCTCAGCTACACTAGTATCTAGGAAGAACTTAGTGGAGTTTTATATTCATTATTCTCACAGCAAACCTTTATGATGGAAGTTGGTTATTTCTCTGTTCATGAGATGAAGGACTGAGACGTGGTTTGGTGGGGTCTGTCTGCATGGGCAGCTCAGAGCAGTCAGCAGACCAGCTGGCACCTTTAAACACCTAGCATCCACAAGTAAATCACTCAAAGGCATCCTTAGACCAAAATCCAGCAGGAAGCCAAAATCCAGCAAGAATAAAGTTGCATAGTGAAGGAAGTAGACTAGAGCTTTGGTTGGGAACTCCTGGTAACTGAGGCAAAAGCAGTGAGCCCTGGCTTTGGGCTGGACACATAGGTATTTATGTCAGCTGTATTTAGACATTTGCATCTTCACTATAGTTGACTTATGCTTCCTTTCCAGTACATAGAAATTGATTAGACAACACTAGTCTCATCCCAAAGTAGGTATTTAAAGTAGATCAGGTGAAATGTGCCTGGATAAAGCCCTTTTAATAGTGAGCTCCTAACTACAGTGTAGCCTTTGGTGCTGGACAACTGTATTTAATGATCTGCAGCAGGCATGGGGAGCTGGCTGGTTTTGTTCTCACAGGAGGGGGAAGAAGAGGACCCCCACATTTTGAGTGAGGCCTGTAGTTGTCCTGTGCCGTACCGAACTGGTTGTCACTTTGAGCCTTAACCAGCTGCAACCTACAGAGTGACATCCAGATTGTATATTCACCATCAAAGAATATCAGACCCCTTTTAGCTGGCTCAAAGGACCCCTTTTGTCTCAAATGTGCCACATGTAACGATGTAAGCTCAACTAGCTACTGCAAATGGACATGCCAAAAATATCCCACCTTCTGACTTCTCACTAAAAGGGGCTGGATTTCAGACCAGCTTTTTCCCCTGCTTGTATGTGGTTAGCACAGAATCAGAAGTTGCTCCACCTGAGTGCCACTCAGCTCTCTCTTGGAGATGCTCTATTGAGCAAGCTGGTTTGAAAACCAGCAAATAGCCAGCTGTTTGCCATAGCTGGGGTCATGTATACTTTGCAAATGTTTCACTAGGAGAAGAACTCAGGGGAGCTGGAGATGGTTTTCAGATATGATGCACATCACCACTGAACTGACAGCTGCTCCTTCCTTTTTTCCTTCCCTGCTGTGCAGTCAGCATTTACCCTTGTCCCCTTGCTCAGCAGCTACTTGTTCTTCTCCCTGCAGCCATTGCCATGGCGGCTGTGTGCCAACAGCTCCTCTCTTCTGCACCCCCACCGCTAGCAAGCTCAGATCTGTGCCTGGTGTGGTGCTGCTAAGTGAATGGAGAGAATGACAGTGGGTGGAAGGAGTGAAGGGCAGGGTCCGCACCACCACGTACCACTGACAGAAGCCCCTGCCACATCTTCACCAGCTTTGTTGTCTGTAGTGGGGAGCAGGAAACATTTGGTGTCCCTAGGAAAGGTGCAGTTCAGCACCCCAAACCTCGTTTTGTTTTCTCCTGCATCTCCACATTCCTTCATCTTTGCCTCAAGGATGTATGACCTCACGTTTAGCGGCAGACTGAAACATGTGCTTCTCAAGCGAGCCCAGTTTTGCAGGCAGTCCATGTTGCACAGTAGAAACACTTTGTTCTTGTTATTTGCTCTATAGAATTGTAATTTTTTTCTTCTAATTTTATCACACATGCTGTCCAGCATATATCTCTGCTCTTGCCATTGCATTTTTAGCATATGGAGAGGAGGGATGGATCCTGAAAATGATGCTGCCAAGCCCTGGAGACTAAAAGGAAAATTCCTGTGGCAAGATCTGTTAAAATGCAGAGAATTTCTTTAAAATATGTGTGTGGGTTTCTGCCTTAAAGCTTACTTACTGCTGTCTTTTTATTTTCTCTCTTTGTGTGTGTGAGTGTAGGATAAAGATTGAGGAGGAATATGCTAAGAACCTGTCCAAACTGTCTCAGAATTCCTTGGCTGCTCAGGAAGAAGGGTAAGTGTGTCTCTGTGACTTCTGCAGAGGACAAGAATTATAACATAAAAGACATTCCTCCCGCACAGGTACTTGTATTTTTCCTGAGCTGTCCTTTTGAGTAGAGGTTTATTTAGCTTGGCATCCTGAGTGTGTTGAGGAAGATAGAATTGCTTTGGAATATTTTGCTTTTGAACATATTAATGGTAATTTTTTAGGAATATTTTTATAAAACCTTGCATTTTTAATAATGTGTTTGTGCTATCCTTGTTTTAGCTAGCACTAGTTCCTTTAGAGATTAGCTAAATAAGTGCTAAATTGCTTTGAATATGGAAGAATATGTGGAATATATACACTGCTGATAGTAGGTCCCTAAGGTCAGGCCAGTAAAATTGGAGCAGCACAGACAGAGGGAGGAAGAAGTATCTTCTCATTTTGGGTCTTACCTTCCAAGAAAAGCAGCGGGTTGTTCCTGATTTACAGCACGTCCACACTTTGGAAGTTATTAGGAAGGTATTAGGCAATGCACTTCAGCCTAGATGGTAATTCTTCAGTAATAATGAAAAGACACCGCACCTGAAGGATTAGAAGTTGTTAGCTCTGTGTGTTCCAGCACAGACTCTCTAAGCACTGAAAGTCAAGGCTGGAAATGACTGTCCTCACCCTAGTTCAGATACAGTGTATTTCTACTGGCAGTGAAGCTCCGCGAGGTGTTTGCTTTAGCTTCCAATAGGCAAGGACTGAAATAGCGAGAGGCTAACTAGGCTGTTACTTCTCTAAGCACCTCCACTGATGATGGTTTCTGTTCTTTTTTTCCCTTTAGGGGTGGATGTTAACCTGCTCCTAGCAAAGTTAAAACTGCTTTCTTTCACATCCTCCTCCCACCTTCTCCTACTCCCAGGAGGAGAAGGAGGGAATGCCTGGAAAAATTATGGGGAAGGAAACTAGGAGAGACTAGATGAAAAGAGAGGGAACAAGGACTGAAGCATAAAAAACGTTGAAGTAGGGAACTGAAGGGGACATGGAGCAAAGTGCAGGGAGCTAGGAACACTGCCTTGTTGTGCTCTGCCTGGAGAGGTGGCAAGATGAGGGAATGGAAGGTGCTGTGGTGGCCAAATTGGCTAGGACCAGGAAGAGGCTGATGAGAAGATCCTGGTTATTGGTGAGGCCCAGGAACGAGAAAAAATCCTTTTAAAGAAAGTGAGGGAGGAAGAGCAGCCAACAGGAGTATTTGAAGGAGCCAAAAGTGGGACTGCAGCCTGGCACACTCAGAGTAAACATTTGCCAACATACCTTTCATTTCTGAGAAGGTGTGAGTTGTGGGACTCCATGAGCTGCTCTGTGAACTCACCAGTTACCACTGCTGGTTTCATACTCCACAGACCATTTTGCAGCTTTGCTGTCCAATGGTCTATGGAATTGACACAAAGTATGGACTCTCCTTCCAGGGTCCTCTGCCCTCCTCTGGTGCTAAGAAGACCCACCATCATGTATGTGAGTGGGACATGAGGGTGATGAGATGAGATGGGACTGATTTGTGGTATCGGGATGGTTCTGTCCAAGTTTCTCTGAGTATAGTGCTGCTGCACCTACACAGAAGGTGATACAATCCATGGTCATTTAAGTCATTGCGGTTGGATAAGAGAGGCAGAAGATGCTTAGCAGGCTGAAATGCCTCCTTTACTTAAATAGATCAAATAAAATAGTACCAGTGAGAACAGGGCAGTAGGAGGGAACCTTAGGGTGGGACTAGGGAAGGAGAAGAGTTGGGAGTATTTACACAGGTGAAACAATCTCAGGTTGTTTAGCTGTGATGAACACCATACCTGAGGACTCAACTCATTGGAGCAATGTGAGAGATTACAGATCGTTAGCTTGAAATTGCAGATGACAGGCAATTTTTCAGGCTACCAGGAATGGACAAATATGACTGTCTTTGAGAAGGAGGTGGGGGGAGAGAGAGAGGAGGAGCCGTGAAATTGTACATCAGTCAGCTTTATATAATCTGTGCAAAGTGGTAGAATAAACTATCAAGCTTTCTAGAAGCATTCAGCAAAAAACTAAGGTGACGAGCAATTATTGTGAATGCATACAGAACAAACAATGTCAAAACAACCTAAATTCCTTCAGTGACAGAAGTCATCAGCTTCATAGTTCTTAATTTAGTATAGCTTTTTGCAACAGGAGGTTCTTGTAGGCAGACAAGAGAAATGTGGCCTAAATAAAGCCTAAGGTGCAAAACTAGGTAAGAAATCATAACTGCTACTTACAAAAAGTAAAGTGCAGACAGTAACTAAGGAGTGAGATCCCATAAGGTTTTTCCCAAGTCCAGAATATTTGCAATGTTTTTGTTAATGACTTATGATAGAATAAATAATAGGTTTACTGTAATCAGAGATGAGACAAAGCTAGGAGGAATAGTGTGTACAATTTGAAGAAAGTATTAAAATTCGGAATTATTCTGTTAAACTAGAGAAACAAACTGAAAAAAATTAAGATGCATTTCAATGCAGATAAAGTAGCAGATTTTATACTTTCACAGGATGTGAAAGATACAGTTACATAACAGTTTGTGGGAGAAGGATCTGGCTACAGTGAATCACAAGCTTATTCATCAACAGCTTCACCCTGTTGTCTAAAAAAGCAATCATACTGAGATATGTAGAAGAGAGAGTGTCTGATACAAAATAATCTGTTAACAATTTAGCAACTGGAAGACCTCTCTCTGTTGGAGGACAGTGTAGTTTTGGTTATGGTGCATTAAGAGGAATCTAGGCTGTCAGAGACAGTCTAGAGGAGTGTATCTAAACTGCCATTGTCTAGAAAATAATTTGAAGAAAAAAGAAGGTGGAGAAAAGACATGGTAATTTTCAAATACTGAAAGGATTTTCTGAGAAGAAGAATTATTGGTTCATCAAAGTTAGAGTGTAAAGAAGAAGAGGCAATGGGAAAACTGCATTGGTGACAATTTATTTTAAGGATTAGAAAAGCAAGTTTTTTATGGTAAGAATAAGAAACCGAAGTTTCTTTCTTATACAGACTGTGGCATCTCTGTAACTGAAGATTGTTGAGAACAGTGTTTTCACAGATCTACTACATACAATGCAAATATAATTCTGCCTTGGTTATAGAGATTGGTTATCTTCTCAGATTTCTGCTGTCACTTTTCTGTGATTTTGCTCAGCATGATATGGTACAAAGCACTGCGCCTTATCTATCTGACAACAGCTGACAGATCTTGCTGGGAGGATGTGCAGATGACAGGACATTGCTCATTGTCACACTGTGTTCTTTCAGCACACTAGGAGAGGCTTGGGCTCAGCTAAAGAAGAGTCTAGCTGATGAAGCAGAGGTTCACCTCAAATTTTCTTCTAAGGTAAATAGTTCTTCCTTTTGCAAAGATTTATGCCCTGTAATTGATGTGGACCTCCCTTCAGTGCTTGTTAGTGGGGAAAAGACACATGCATATGGTACAAATTTAGAAGAATTAATAAGTTGGTGAAGTTACTGAAACTCTGTCCATTCTTCTTGCCAAATTCATAGTTTATTTAATCTACCTATTGACTAAGTTAAAACACATCTAGCCTTAATTTTTCATAAAATAAGGAGGAAAGCTGATTCTAGAGATTATTCACCTCGGGCTCTAAGTTCCAGCCTGTTCAATTAAATTTACCTAGAGCTTGGACAGATTACTTCTGTAGAGGAAGAAATAAAAAATAGTGCTTGGCTTCTCAACAAGAATCCACTGTACCTGTCTGGAAGGAGGAGAACCAGGACTCTGACTTCATCTCATTAGCCTTTCTAAAAAGTGCACTGGAAATATACTTCATGTTATTTTTGGATCTTCTCTCAAGTGATGCCCAAGGAGATTTCCTGTACAATTTATGGTATTTGTCTGGTTTTTTCCACCACATGTGACATACTCTTGCATCCCATTACATTGTGTTAACTTCTGTGGGTGATCAAGTTCAATACGGTGGCAGATATCTCAGCACAGCAGCCATGTTCTGGAGGAAAATGATAGCTCTGCACTGTTTGTAAGCGATTATGCAGAGGTTACTCAGGCAACCAGCCACTGCCTTGGTAACCCGCTGCTCTGCTTCGAACTTCTACTTCAGGGCTGTAATTAGTGAAATACTTTTTGCTTCCCATTGTCCTCCTGCATTGTTTTCCAAAAGGAAGAAATGCACCCTGGAGTGATGTATGTGTGCGTAGGCAGGCAATGTATAGAGGCTCTTTCATTATTTTACTTTTTCTTAAACTCTGCACAGAAACTCCAGTAGCATCCTCTGAACATTCCCCACTGTTTCCATAACTGCTTTGGAAGTTTCTCATTCCAGCTTTCTTTTATTGTTTATTCCTATTACTTTCAGAGAAGTTATTCTTAGAAGTAGTAATTATATTTCCGGTTGATAGTCAAACAAAACCAGTCAGTGCTGGCACAAGTAGTTGATACAGCGCAGAGCACACCACGAATGTTCAAAGATAGAGTCCAGCCATGAAGACATTGAACAGCTTCTGTGACAGTCCTTCACAGTACTGTTACATGGAGGGTCATGAAGAGATCAGAAAAGGTCACAGCAGTCTTGTGGCACTTGGAACATAAAATACAATTACACTACTAATGCCTGTACTGACTGGCATGGAAGAGTTCTCTGCTGGAAGAGAAGAGGCACGTGTGTTGTACTAGGTGAAGTCACGGTGGGCTGGCCTGGATATGATGATGTGTTACCAGCTGTTCTGGAAATGATGCTGATGGAGCAAAGGAAAAAATAAGTACTTGTGAAATCACAGATTTTTTGAAGTGTGGCTTCTCATAACTCAGCTGTGTAGTTTCTCCAGCATCTAATACTATGATTACTTGTGCCTCTGTCTTTGTGCCTATGTCTCTACCATATTGGTACAGAGATACAGGGTCTCTGTCCTGTACCTTGTAGCTTCTTTTACCCAAATCACAGGTAAGTATCAAAGTTGTCTGTATAAACTGGTGCATTAAATCTTTTCATTTTAGGAAAGCAGCTTATGTTTTTTCATTTATTGAATGCATTTGAAAGTCTCTTTTAGCAAGATCTTCTAGCAGAAGATATAAAAGAAGCAAGAAAAAATATCGCCAGCTTTAATGCAATGCTTAAAAGCTTGGGTCATTCACATGTGAGTCTATTTTGATAGGTTATTATACCTCTGGCAAAACAGAAGTTCAAGCAGGATAATGATGAAAGATAAGTGCCTTCACTGAGAAGTCCACCTTGTTGATTCCCAGAACACAAAACTGGAGAAAGAAGTTGCTTTGTTTGCATTTTGAGCTTCCCGGTGATGCATTTCCTGTCTCGATGAGGATCTCAGAATTTCCTGTGCCATTATAAAACATGTGAAATAAACAAATATCTTTACTTTCTATTAGGCAAGTAGAACTACCATTGAAATACCCTCCTGTTTGGTGTGCTCCTGGCCCTGGCAATCTTTATAAGGGTTTTCACACCAATGCCTACTTGTCAGATGAGCCAGCTTGCCACTTCTTCCACTGAAGATCGTCAGCTCACATTGGGTCATTTACCTCGCTTGATTCATTTATCAATGAAGCAGTCTGAAGAGCACAGAAACCTTTTAGCTACTTCAAACTCAGCTGGACATAAACATCTATTTCAGTTGTAATATATTGCCTCTGGTGTTCACTGAAGCTGTTCCAGTTCTTGTTCCACTGAGCATTGGCAATGCTCCTGACACAGCTATCAGTTTGTACCTCTGTTCTTGAGAGAGCTTGTGTAACCATGCTGGACCACAGAGTTGTGAGCAGGTCTTTATTAGCTTGTCGGGCCATCCTGATGAGATTGTTAAAAAATTATTGTCCAGAATTCTCTCGTCCATGCCCCCCTCCAGTCAGAGCAGGACTATCACCCACAGTGGGTCAAGTCAGCTACATGTTTATCTAGCAGAGCCTTGAATATCTCTAAAGACAGATTTCACAACCTCTCTGGTCAACCTGTTTCAGTGCCCAGCTACCATTCTGTTGACTTTTTTCTTTTTAAAATTACATTCAACCTGAACCTCCCAAAGCTAAATTGTCTGTTGTGACATTGCCTGTCCCTACTAAGAAGAATTTGGCTCTGTTACTCTTGCAGTTGACCTTCAGATAGCTGTAGGCAATACTAGATCCCTGTCGTGCCAGTCTTCATCTGTCTAAACAAGCTCTGCTTTAGGTTTGTTTAGCAGCTCTAGGATGTGTGTTGTAGGGCCTTGTCTCTCTTTGTAACCTCTTCTGCTTCTGGGGAGGTAAAATATCTGCATTCCTTCAGAGCACATTTTCTAGATGTCAAAACAGTATCAGAAGGCCAGAAAGCAATATGATACAAACTCTGCTAGAATTGGGTATTACCGACTGTCAAGTCCTGCCTGTAAGAGATCAGTCACATGCACTCTTGATGGGTCTCTCCTAAGTTCGTTTCAGTGGTTTCCTGCTACTACTTAAAGAGTTTCAACTAAATATTTCACTTTAGGATCCCTTATACTTGACAGAAATAAATAAAATCTGCCCTTTTCAATCTCTTTTCACTATACAAGAAATGCAGACATGTCACCATGGTCCACTGTCTCACCTAACTGCACTAAGGGTTAGCAGCTTTAGTTTGTATACTTTTTTTTTTTCTTTTTTAAGCAAGTTGCGTCAATTAGGCCAGAATCAGAGCACCCTGGGTAATGCCCTGGATATTGCCTGTAGTTTGATCTTGCGTGTTAGAAGAGAGATATGATTTAACGGAGACAGAGGAAGACAAGATTTCTGTCCTTTTGTTCCCTGCAGTAAATACTTCCCTAACAGAGCTGTCCTGCTCTGTATGACATTGCCTTTGGCTGAGGTTTCCTTTCTGTCCTGAAGTTTGCTCAGTAGAAAAGCCAGGAATTACTGCCCAACTCCTCATAGTTGCTATTTCTTCCTTTTGTTTTCATTACCAGCTTCAGAGTGAGGTGGAGAAACCCCTGCTTAACTTCAGAGAGAACTTTAAGAAAGACATGAAGAAGTGTGACCACCATATTGCAGACTTACGGAAGCATCTGGCCAGCCGCTACACAGCAGTTGAAAAGGTGGGAACCGAAAATTAGAGAGTTCAGGAGATACTGGTAGTTTGAACAGAAAAGCAGCTGCTCTGTGAAAAGTTTCTGTTCTGTCACAAAGAACCTCAATGGTTTCTCCTGAGTGCTTTCTGCTGTTAGGTTATGCTTTGCCAGGCCCTGGCCATCGTTTGCTGCTTAGCTGAGATTTGGGAAACGGGGCTACAGGCAGGGCTAATGCATTACTCCTGAACTGGCTTTTAGTTTCATCCTCCCCTTCCCAATTTGGGACAATATATTTCTGATACATTTCATGAAAATGCTCCTTGCTTGTGTGCATTCAGAAGTCATATCTGTTGCCTTCAAAATTTAAAAAAACTTGCCTTAAAATAGCATCAGGGTCAGGCCAAAGGTTTGCCTTTGGCCAAAAGCAGATGATTGAGGAAGGCAACTGAAACCTGGCACGGCAAGTCACAAACCCTCTCCCAGTTCCAGTTTTCTGTGCCTCACAGCAAACATCCTTGCCTGAAAAACTCTAGCAGCAGCACCCTAGTATCCGGGGTTGTTTTAACATGAACATTCAGTAGGTAGCTGACTTTGTGATTTAGAGAAAGTTATACCCACAAAACATGCTCTCTTATCAGCAGCTGGCAGGAAGTGGGATACCCATGCCTTGACTGCCAAGATGCTTATACCAAATGGCGTCCTCACTGGATTTGCTCTGCTGTGGAAGTTGGAAAGGAAAATACTGTGCTCAGTCAACCAGAATGTTGTTTGGGCTTTCATTAAAGATCAGAGCGTACATGAGAAAGTTCGCCTGGGGTCAGAATTGTTGCAAGATACACAAGGTTATTAGACTATGTATTCAGGGAATGCATTTTTCTGCAAAACAGTAAGTTCTTCACGGTCATATCTGCAAAGAAACACAGCCCTCAGTAGGGATATTGAAAAGAATTAATTCAAATAGCCTTGAGAAGAAGGAATTAAAAAAAGGGAAAAGATATGTCTGCAGTGTGTCTGATGAAGCTTCTCACCAAATTGCTGTCCTGCAGCTCCCTCTTGCGACCTGCTGAGCCGATCACAGGGTCTTCAAAACTGTAAGCTGACAAAACCCTGAAGAACTTCAAAGTGATTTAAAAAATCAGTTGTAACCAGGTCTCAGGTTCTTGATTTCTACAGTGTGAACTGTTGTTGTCATGAACCTGAATTAGTTTTTCTGAAATAAGTCTGAAAGTCCCTATTGTCAGAGTTTCTGATAAGTGTATATTGAATCCAGAAAGTACTTAAAAATAATTTTTGTAAGATACTTTAAATTCTTTCAAGAAAAGTAAATGGAAGATGTATCTTGGTGATGCTGGTTAAGACATCTGGGAGAAGCTCCAGCTCCCCTTTCTTCCAGAAATAGTGAGAAAGTTACTAAGAAACATGAAAATCTGATGATGCCTTTTGTACTCTGCCTTTCTAAGAACCTATGAGGAGTTCAGATGCTTTGTGATTTGTTGGTGACAACTTCTGTATGGTGTTAGGACACTTATTTGAACACCATATGGTGTCCTAAGAAGTTGAATCCCAGTTAGGACTTGGTTTTATGCAGAGTCTCTGTCGTCTTACTGGCAAATACTCGTGTGAAGAAGTCATCAATGTCTGAAAGCAGCTGGTAGCTCTTTTCCTCTAAAACATGTGTTTCTTCTTTAATTACTCCAAGGCCCGGAAAGCTTTGACAGAGAGACAGAAGGATCTGGAAATGAAAACACAGCAGTTAGAGGTGAAGCTCAGCAACAAGACAGAAGAGGAAATTAAGAAGGCAAGACGGAAGTCCACTCAGGCAGGTGAGTACCTATGTCCATCTGCAGCCGGAGATGAGCACAGCCCTGCATCAGAAGGAACAGGATGGGACACAACTGCCCATCCACACGTGTTTGTTTTTTACTGCTGGAGCTAGAATGTCAATGTTAACCATGCTACAGATCTGTTTGATATTAAGTCCTCTGAAGAAACAAGCCCGGTTTTTCAGGTTACATGTCACAAAATGATGATTTTGATAGCTGCGGTGAGAACAGTAAAAAAAGGGTGAATTGTCCTTTTGCTTTGTGAAAGAGTGCTGAGATAAACAAATGTCTGTGAAACATCTGAAGTCAGATTCAAAGAAGGTTAGCTGAGGATGTTTCTTCCTTAAATTGTAGTTCCTTTTTTGGTTCTTTCTTTTTGGTATCTCCACCTTCCTCCATTGGCATCATCCTGCCTCTGTTTGGTGTCTTTTCATGGTGACTGTTTGAGACATTTTACCTTCATTCTGTCTGGGCCCTTACAGTCCCTGGTTTATGTATAAAGACCATTTTGTACATAATAGAATGGTATGAATTTGAGCCCTGGACCTAGACACCATACTGTTAGGAAAAGTGTAATGGAGCCTTATTTAAAGAAGAAAGATAACTTACTAGCCAGAAAGCAGCAATCTGAGACATACTTTCCAGATTTTCCACCTACCTTTCCCTCTGTCAGAGCAGAGTTCTGCAGCATAGAAAAAAAAAAGAAATAATCACAGCTTATTGTGTTATTGCCCTGAACACAGGAGGAAGTCAGAGCTCATCTGGAACTATGCATCTTCAGAGGCTGGAGAATACATGAGTGTGCAGCTGTGTTAAGGCTGCAAATAAGCATCCCTCAATCTCAGACAGCTTGAGCCTGACACTTCACTCCCATCTTAAAGACTCATCTTAGAATGCTGTCTCACCTGCAGAGAGCTATCTTGCAGCTCAATAACTCATTGATTTCCCATTTTAATTTTTTTTTCAGATAAAACTTTATGACCTTTTTTTCCTAAATTGAAGTAACTTGCTTTCATAGTTCTGTAAAATACTACTTAATGTTCATATTTTCGTTTCTAAAATCTTGTCTTCCTCATTCTTTCTCACCCCAATCACCTGATGTTTTATCACACACCAAATGCATGCATTTTGTTGAAATTTTGTTGCACCTAACAAATACCACATAGCAGAACTTCTTTCAGCTCCACCAGGCTGATCTTCAAATCCTCTGGATCTGTCTGCAAAATCTAAACTGCCATTTCCTTCTAAGCTCCATAACACTGACTAGAAAAGACTGATGTGTTTCTCTCTTGAACTTTCCAGGGGATGACCTGATGCGCTGCGTGGATCTTTACAATCAAGCCCAGTCCAAGTGGTTTGAGGAGATGGTGACCACCACTCTGGTATGTAAATCGATGTTTCGTGTATAGCATTGCAAAGTTGTAATAGCATATAATATTCATCACTCATAGCTAGATACAGTGCAAAGCGGTGGGAAAAACTGGATAATAAATCTCCCATTGTGTTTCCCATTCTCAGTCCTAAGAAAAACTCATATCATTAGGGGAAGGAAGAAATAATTGTATCTTTGGAGAAGGCATTAAATGAGTTCAAGACTGCTTAGGGGTCAGAACACTGGAATTGTCCCCAGGAAGGATGAAGTAATGCACAAGACATGGATAAATGTCATAAAACACTGAATCCATTTATATGTTAATGAATTTTTTTACTCCATGATTTTACAATTTCTTCGCAAGTAGTGCCAGTTCAGAAAATACATGCTTTAATTGCTCTGTTTCTCTGAAGATAACACAGCTCACAGTATTCACTGGAAGGGCAAATAACATTTGGGGTTAGTCACCACGATACCAAGACACATCTTTGATGTGCTATATTCTTTGATATACCTGTACTTTGGCTTTAGAGCTCCTCATTCAAGTTGTTCCTTAGAGACCTGGGCAACAGCCAATTGCTTTCAAAAGTGGGAAATAAAAATGTCTTCTGCATGTATTTTTCTCATTGGACAAACACAAAACTGTAAACTCCTCCTAATAAGAAGCAAGGTAATAAATTGCTCAGCATTTGGAATTATGTCTGAGCAATATTTAAACTGCAGTAAATAAATAAAGGCAGATGGGTGAGTGGAAAACCAGGAGGTGGGCATCTTCCCAAAATCAGAACAAGAGAGGAGAAAGTTGGCAGTTTCTGTACGTAAAGGATTTGATTCTCCTCTCACCTGCACTGGCAGTTTCTCATTGATGCAAATGACACTGGCCAACAGTGTGACTGTGTCCAGGTACAGCCCGATATTAGCTGTGTATTTGCTCCTAAAGAATCAGTGCAACTTAGAAGTGGCTAGTAGGTAGCTCAAGAGGGAGGGCATAGCCTGCAGGCTGCATAGCAGTTTTGTCAGTAGTGAAACTCAGACTGAGAAGCATTTGAAAGTAAGTCTTGGTATACATGAATAGAAAATCTAAATTGAAAAACAGTCTGCATCTGATCAGCTCAGATACAGATGAGTTCATATGCAATAAAAAGTGAAGAGAGTCAAGGTGTGAAGATTTATGTTTCCTTGCAGACTTTCCTCCTTGAAGTTTCTGGTGCAGATACAATGCATGTTCCACATGCTTACCAGCACTAGCACACTGGGTTCTGTGTTCTGGTCCTGTGCATCTGTGACCTAAGTAATGCAGTCTGTGTTCACAGCGGTTATTTTTTTCCATGAGGGCAGTACATTAACCAGCAGCAGCAATAGGAGTTTGGTCTGTTTCAGTCCTGCCCATATCATAAGCTCCTTTGCTTTTGCTCTTCTTCCACAGACAGATGGCCTGCCACCTGAGATTTCTGTCCTGTAACAAAGAATAGGTTTCCCAAAAGCTATTTAACAAATTGCAGGTTGCACAGGGAAGGCAATGTAGCAGCCTGTCTGCTTGTATATGCTCAGGTTGCACTCCACCAGTGAGTGGACACCAGAAACGCCCTCTGAAGACAGTCTTTTTAACATGTTACTGTGAATACAGAGCTTTCTAGTGGTACAGCAAAGTCCATTACAGTATGTGTCTTTAAAGGCAGACTTCCATAGCATGCTGCTTCCACTCAGGTGGACAAGGAGGGACTAAGTGCAGATTTGGGGGTTTAGTATCAGAATCCAGGAGAAAAGCACGGCAGGAAAAATCAGGAAGAAAGTTAGAAATTACCTGTCTTTTCAATTAAAGTGTTGCTGCAGTCTGCTTACTGTCAGTTGAGCGAGGTGGGGACTGATCCCAGCTCATCATCTGGTGAACAGATAAATCTGCTCTTGTTGCCCGTAGAACAAAGAACACAAACTAACAGAGTGTCAGTTTATGCGGTGCTTTATTCAGGGCCCGGGGACCTGAGGACTATCGTCCAAAGTCAGGATCCCAAAGACCCCCATTTTTGCTTCAGCTTTTATACCTTGTTACAGCTTGGTCTACGTGCAGAGATACACATTTCTTAGTTATAAACAGTTACATTCATCATAGAGATAATAGTTTCTTTGGCTATAAATCTTACATGCTCAGCTTTCTTAAGACTATGAGTTTGTTTATCCGACTTAACTCCCACCACCACGATCCCTTTAGTATGTTATATTTTAGCTCTACCACTAGCAACAAATCACTAACAACAATCTGCTATGTCCTTGTGTTCTACATGCTCTGTTGAATCCTTCAAACATTGTTTCTATCTTATCTATGCTCTATTCCTAGCACAAAGTTTCCCAGGGCAGGTTTCCCAATCAAGGCCTCCCCTAAAATCAAGCCTTAACATAACTACTTCTATCGTTATAACTCTATTTATCCACATACACTATTCTTAAAATATTTGATTTATTTAATTCAAGTGTAACACTCTGACAGGTGTCTGGTTAGACCAAAGTCCCCATGGGCCATACACACCACCACGGTCTCCTGCTTCCTCAAGGAATCACTGTAACTTCTGGAGCTAGCAACAAAGCATACAAAGCTTCTTGCAGGAAACTGATTCCCTCTTGCTTGCAGCATCCCTGAAGACAGTAGCTCTTCTCTCTCCTTTGGTTGTCTCAATTTTGAAAAGGTTTCGACCTTCTATTCTGTCAATTGACTCAGGCTGAAGTGACTTCTGTTGCTTGCTGTCTCTGGTTCTCTGCAAATCAGAGGGACATGAAATCACAGAGCTCAGCTCCAAAGCATGACCCTGGAGCAGTATACTGGCAACCTCTTTTCTGTTGTCCTTTCTCTTTCTCCTTCAAGTTCAGCTTCCAATAAAATATGGACTTATTTTTCTGTGTGTTCAGGAGCTTGAGAGACTGGAAGTTGAAAGGGTGGAAATGATTCGTCAGCATCTTTGCCAGTATACGCAGCTGCGGCATGAGACAGACATGTTCAACCAAAGCGTAAGTCTGCTTTTTGTTTGGACCCTTTGGTCTTCGCTGCAATTCAGCTGACCAGAACAGTCCTTGTCCTGATCTGACTGATCTGTATCCAAAGGAGATGTGTAAAGTATGTGCAGTCAGCTTGTTAATTTGCAGCAGTGCACTGCTTCCACCTTGCAGTCCTGCTTCTCCAAGACTCTTATCCTGGCTACATTTCATATTGCTGGATCACAGGCTTTTGCTGGGGCAAATGCAATGAATTTAATTACATGTGACCAGCATGAGCCATTATTAACTCTTACCCAGCATGATGCACTGCTCCTTGAGGTCACATGTTCTTGCAAGGAAGATAGTAAATAGTTTCACCATTGGGGGAGGGAGTATAGATGTATTATTTTTATTAAAAAACTAGCTAGTTTTCAGATACAGGTGATGTCTACTAACCTCAGTACATGGTTGTATTTGGTGTAAGGTACAGATTGCAGGACAGGAGTCGGAGACTGACTGGCCAACGCCTGGCATAGGAAGCCTGTCTCTGCTTGATGTTAAAAGTCTGCCTCTTTTCTGCTTCCTGCTATGAGGCTTCTCATTCAGATCTGACTGTTGTCCACCAAGTCTCACTTATATGCATTTCTCACTTGTCTGCAAATGCAATGTAGGCATGCCCATAGCTGCCTACTGTTTCTGCTTGTAATGTACCCCTGACATTTTGATTCTTATTTTGTTCATTTTAGACAGTAGAGCTCGTGGATCAGTTGCTTCGGAAAGTGGATCCTGCCAAAGACAGGGAACTATGGGTAAAGGAACACAAAACTGGAGACATCCGACCTGTGGACATGGAAATATAGACTGATCTATGTGATGAGTCCACTGAGTTAACCAGGCTAATGTTTGTTTTTAAGGGTAAGAAAAGCATAGGGAAAAGGTTGTTCCACTACCAGACACCTTGTAAATTATGCCTGTACGGGGTCTCTCTGTTCCATTTAATCATTAAAATGGTCCTTATTGTGCTAAGCCTTAAGCACCAGACATTCCAGGGTGAAAAAAACAGATGTGTGCTTCCCACCAGAGGTTCCCAATTGCATCAGCTTCCAGAAGTAATCTGCTTTCTGGTACAGAGAGAGCTTTATTCTTCAGTGACTTTGTGCTACACCCTTTGCATGACTATCTTTATACAGTATGTTAGATCTACCATGCAGTGAGCCTCTGGCCAGCAAGTAGATAACTGTTTGAACACGATGCAGGAGGCGAAGAAGTCCTGATCATGAATCCCAGGTCTGTCACTGACTGCTTTCATGGCCACAGGCAAATCAATTAATTTTTCTGGCTCCTCCATCTGTAAAACATGCATATCTCACAGCAATTTGTTGCAAATACATTTATTTCATGTAACACAGTTTCCCAGCATGGCAGTGAAGCGATGGCCCTTCTCCCAAAATCCATGGAGAAGACTCCTCCTGTTCTTCCTGTTTTATACTCCCCCTCAGGGATACATAAACCCATTATCATCACCATTTCTGTTCTAGACCAATCAATAAGGTTGGAAGTGTTACCATCACTGTTATTTATCAGGAAAGACTTGGTTGTGCTATACCTACCTCATTAGCTGTCTGAGTGCCCGCAATGACAGAAAGAGGTTATATACCAAGGAATAAAATATGTTCAAAATCCTTCCTGCTTATGCAAGATATCTTCTCATAGAACCTCCTTAAAGACAGTCCTCTAGCATTTTATTTGAGATCCAGGTTTAAATTGCCCTTTGTTGGTTCCTTCAGGTGAATATCACAGCTTTAGGTATCTTTAATTACCAAGTTTGTCTAGCTAAATTGTAGGGTTTATGTTTTTAGAGCTTGATTTCAAAGGTGCCATGAATCTGTATGCTGCATTAAATGTAGAGGTAGATGTCCAGCGCTTCTACACCATCAGAATGTTAACTTTAGATTTTTTCCTTTGTTAACTTACCATAGACTACCGCAAATTCAACACTGCTCTTTGCACATAGCGTTATGTATTTTGGTGACTGGTTTTGAAAAAGTATTAATTGTCTTTTCCTGCTGTTATTTCTGATTGATTATTCAGTGTTGCTGTTAAAATACTTTTCAGCATTTCATACAATGCCAAGATTCTTGATATTCTTGCTTTAGATCCAGCAGAAACCCTGATTCTCACCACTGTGGCCTTTACTCAGTGTTTACTGAGCTGTTATCTACAATTTCCCAAACCTTACGATTTCATTTGATGCACAGTTATTCCCCCTATTTATGCCATTGTCACCATCCTTTTTTCCCCAGCACTGAAACTGCGTCCTTCTTTTTTTCTACTACTATTCTAGGTTTTTGTTCACCAGCCTCCGCGTTCGATTAGATTAGATTATTAATTAATTAATGATTAATATTCCCCTTTATGAATACAAACTGAGATACAGATAAGTCTTATCTGAAACACATTTTTAATATTTCTGCAGTGATTATTTTTCTGGTTTGTCATTTCAAACTGAATTCTGTTGCATTTTCCTGTTGTTCCCTTTTTTGTCAACCATCTCTTTACCAGTATTCATTCATTCCTGTCTTGCAAATTCCTCTACAACCCACTTCTCTGCCGCGTCATTAGCCTTTATAAATCTTTGCACGTTGACAGGTGCAGTGCCATGACCACTGCATGCTTAGGGTCAGACACCTCCTGTACTGCACTTGCATTACGCACTTCTGAATTTGTGACTACTATTTTATTCTTGGTGTTGGAAGCATCCAGCACACTGTCATATAAAGTCTCTCCTAAGTTCCTGCAAAGACGATTGCAATACAACTGAAACATGGTTTGCCTAACCATCACGTAGTCCTTGAGCTCAGTTAGGGTACATACGCTTCCCCAGACTCTTCTGCTTCTCAGGCAGGGATGTTTCATGATGCTCTCTCTTTTTCAGTCTTCCTATTGATTCACTCTCTATCCTAATAATTATGTTGGCATACCAAGTATACTTTTTCTATCTCTACCATGCACTTCAGAGAACAAGCACTTTCTTTTTTTTTTTCTTTTTCCTTATTTTTTTTTAAACACAGGTGCAGGGTGAACTTTCAAAACTTCAATGGTCAAACATAACTGGAGCAGTTAAGAGCTGCATCTCAGGTTGACCCCTGTATTGTAAATTAAAATGAGCAATCTTGATGACACCTCACCACATTCTTGTTTTCATTGAAAAACCAAGTTAGTTGTGCACTTTATACAGTATTCTCCTTAATAAATATCTGAAATAATATGTTATCAATTTCACTATATTATTCTTCTTTCTTTAAAAATGTTTGTTATTTTATCTATTTTGGACTGGAAATACTGGCAATTAGCACAGGTTTCTCTGAGAACTGAAATGTATTTTGGTTCAGTAATCTGAAGAGAGTACTTGTACCTGGCTGTTAATCTTTACCAGGCCCAGCAAACTCTCACACAGTGCTGCTTTGCAATGGATGAGATGCTTGCTCTACCACAAGACATTCATCTGTAATCGGTGGAAGTGTTGGGGGAGTTTTGCTGTTGCTTGTAGACATTTTCCAGCTTATTTCCTGCAGAAGATGATACTTCCTTGTGATACGACACTGCAGCCAGTGGGATCAGTGTTACCTGGGTCATGCACTTCTCTGGCTGGTGGATCCTGGACAATGTGATGCCTCACAAGTCAGGGAGTGCTGAAGCCCCAGTGCTTCTGAACAGACAGCATCTTCAAAGAAGATGGCATGTTTGAAGGGAAAAATGGATGCCTGCCCTCATGTTCATTTCTAATAAGGTAACTTTGGGAGTTTCAGCATTGCTCTGTTCATCTTCCATTGAGTTGCAAAAATGCAGTTGAACCCAGTCTTTCTTCATGCAATAACTCATCCTAATCAGCTTCTTCTCTAGCACAAGATCAAGCTTCATGTTATGTTGAAATAGCTAGCATGTGAAAAGCATGATGATGTTGCCATGTGACTCATTAACAAGAATAAGAAAGTATGTCTCTTGCCTTCATAGTTAGTGGGCTCAAGGGTCATCTTGTTTTGTCTGACAGGTGGGCTCACACACCTGATGCAAGTTTTTACTATTTTAATCACTACAGGTATCAGTCTTTTTTTTTTTTTTCTGAATGACAAGGCTGTCATACATCTTCATACAGCTCTGTGGTCACAGAGCAGAAGGTGAGCTTTCAATTAGTACTATTTGCTTTCACCTGAAAAGGTACAGTTAGTGGATATTTGCCTCTGGTTCTTATCTGGTAGCTCTGCTTGCCCAGGTCTTGTTGAAGCCACCTGTGTTTTAGGAGTCATGCCACTCCTGTGGACCTCACTCTTTGTCTAAGCAATGCTGCCACATACTCATCTTGTGCTGTCAAGCCTCTGGCTCCCTGGTGATCTGTGCCTCAGCCAGAGCCTTTTTGGCCCTTGTCTGAGCTCAAGGGCTTTGTGAATTCCCTACAGCTTTGGATCTATTGGGTGTCCTGACTTCATTGCCAGCTGAGGTGCTTACCAGCTGTAACCTCAGCTACTGTTCAAAATGAGGATGTTCTAGTCACCATCTCTATGAGCTCACCTATGTCTTCAAAGCTGTTTACTCAATGGAGAGTCCTTGTTGGAAGTCTTTCTCTAAGGTAGTCTTTCAGCTTATTTCCTAATGGAACTCATTCTGGATCCAGTGCTGTTAGCTGATTCCTGTTGGAGTTAATGAGCTGAAAGCAATAAGTTCTCTACCACATGAGCCAAGTGCACTCTTCTCCCATCACTGGCAAGATTTCAGTTGCAGATTTCCAATCTGCTCAAAATTCACTCAAGTCTGTAGCTCGCATTTGTTTATCACTTCCATGTGTTGAACATCTTCTGAAAGACTTCTGTTGTTCTCTTATAGGAATGTTATTTCATTATTTCACACCAGAATCTTTAAAAATAGCTTTATTTTTTTAAAATTTTAACATGTCATAAGAGCAGTGAAAGTCATACAGAAATCCCTGTTATGTTTCTAGGTAACTTTTCCTGCTCTGCAGCCCTGCCTGAGCTGCTGTGGGGTAGTTGTGCTCCCTCTTTGTGTTTCACAGTGACAGTAAACACTGAAATTTTTCTTCCTTTTGTGTGTAACAGGCAACAGACGAACTTTTGCTCTGCTTCTCTTTACCCATTATGCTTCTCTGCAGTTTTGTGTAGCAGAATTAGCTGCTTTTTGTTTAACTGACAGCCCCGTGCTGTAACGTCAGTGTGTGTAGCTGTCTTGTGACAAGGAATGGCACTCAGATCACCTCCTTTTTTGTTGTGTTTGTTCTCTTCTAAGAGGAATTTTCTGTAAATCATTCACAGGAAACTTAAATGCTCAGTAGTGGTCATAATTGCTCAGACCTTCTGAGAACCTCTTTATATTTGTCCCTGTTTTTAATGTCATTATTTAAATATTGGCTGCAACTTAGACTTTTCATGTAGAAATGTGCACTCATCACCTGCTCTTTGTAAGTGCTCGGAACTCAGATTTATTGGAACACAGCAAGGAGCATGTAAGTGGTGAAAGACTTTGAAAATCAGGCTAACAAATAGAAATGCACAAACCCCTTCTTCCCATAGTCATTGAGTACACGTATAAGATAAACATTAAGAAATTAGAACATTAAATACTTAATGTGTAAGACCTAGCTGCTATATGTGCAGTACCCAGCAGCTCCACAAGTGACCCTATGTCTAGGCCGTGGTAGGAGCACAGGTCTGGAGCATGGATCTACAACTCACCTTCTGATGCAGTTGTAAAAACCCAAATCAAAAATTAAGTAAGTGGAAAAGTAGCTCTTCCCATCCATTTCTTTAGTCATACAAAGGGAGAAAAAGAGTACTGCTTACCCAGGTGGGTCCTTCACTATCAAGCACCTTAAGAAATCCAGACCAGCACCTTGAAGGTCCCCCGGGAATGAGTAGATGTGACTTCTTGGTGTGAGCAGTTGATTATTTTCTTCTGAATTGAAAGCATGCTTGCTATTTTACAGTAGCTAGTGTGCTCTTTTGCAGCAGTGCAGCCTGCTGGGTCTGTTCCCAGAGATAGCAGTCAGAGCCTGCTGTCCTGGAGGCAGCCCTGGTCACCCTTACACTTCCACTATGGTAGAACTAGGTATTCAAAAGACAGTGTCAAAAAGGAAGTTTTCAAAATAGAGAGCTTTCCTGATTACAAACCTTTCTGGTCTGCAGGCTTTTTGCTTCCCAGCATGTGTTGAAATAGGAGAATGAGGTCCCAGAGGTTGCCAGAGCATTGCTGTGAATGGTTCTTGCTATGTGGGCATTCCTCCCATACTTGTACAGTGGTGGGAAACCACTGACGGGTGTCCATTACATAGCA